GGAGAACAAACAATTTTTGCCCGGAAACCCTCAAAATCTGATCCTATGATTTTCCTTTCCAATTGTTATTTTCCACGTCTGGCATGCACTCTATGACGTCCGGTGCTATTGTTTGTGTGTGTGCGTGTAGTAGTATTAGTAGTAGTAGGAATTTAATACGGGACAAACATTTCCTCCTCAATCCCAACTATTCGTGTGACGCGGGTAGTCTAAGGGATAAACGAACAAGCAATCTTAGCATATACGTCAGCACAAGTGTTTGATTGAATGATCTGATTTTAGTTAGTTACTGTTGTCGTTTTTCTTGTTGTTTGATTTTTCGTCCAGCTAGCATAATTTAGTTACAAAATTTCTGTCCCGTATCGATTTGTTCTAGGCCCGGTTTTGTCTTGATCCGCCTGATGACATCTATTGTAGTTGTTGTTGTTGTTGTTGTTATGCTGTAGTATTTGACCAAAAAGAATAATGAAAGTACAGAGCATTTTTATTGACTTGATAGGGTATGTTCAGAAGCTTGGTATGCTTAGTTCGTGTCAATCCCATCAGAGACAATCAAGTAAAGTTGATTTGACATCGGGAACAATGGAGAAAAATTATATTTTTGAAAAGTTAAACCGTATCTGTGGAACTGCGCCTCAATTATTTTGCCACTCGTCAAAGCAATATAAAAGCGACTTTCAACTATCCCAACGACCGACCCTCAGGTGTGTCTAAGCTCAAACCGCGCCATAGGTTTTTGCAGTTTCAACCTGTCACGATGTTTCGCGTGCATCAAACCTGTTGAAAAAGCCGTCTCCCCCGCCCCCCGCGTTTTACCACACAGCACAATATAATTTTTCCACACATTGGAAAAAAGTCCGAACACAGTAATAAACATATCAGGCTGGGACATTGCGGATGAACAAATCACCTTGCACAAATTTGAATGAATTGACAGGTACGACTGCGACATTCGTTTTCATATTTAACCAGAGGAATAAATCACGGTGCGGTAGACCGAACCAGACCCCTGATGACTCAAGCGGAAAACAATCAAGCTGAATTTAAACAGACTGAGAGAATCGGTCGTACGATTGAAGTAATTTTGTTGTGAAAGTTGACCGGATCTGGTCTGCCCAAGCGTATACTTAGTTGGTTGAGGTTGATGGTCGCTTCGTGGCGGGACTGGTTTGGTTGAACCGGTTGAAGTATTTTCTCGCTTTGGTGAGTTTAACGGGTCCTGGATTAAGGAGCTGGGTGATCTGTTTCTCTCTAAGAAATTCAGTCCAACAATTGTAACAGTTGTCTGCGATACGAGGGTAGTTGTAGTTATTGATTATATAAAAGTACAGAATACAAAATGGGCGTGTGCCAAACAGACCTTATTGTAGATACACACTTTATATATATATATATATATATATATATATATATATATATATAGTCTTCGGTATTGAATATATTCTTGAATCGAAAAAGGTGATAAATTGGGATATTTAGTATTTACACCGTCTAACTAAATCCTTGTTTATTCATTCCGTAAATGCGGCACTTTATGATGAATAATTTCTTGTTCGGAGTATTCAGAGGCCAAATATTACCTTGAAATCAATGTCTTGCAAAATCGGAATCCATTTCTTTTTTTGACAAAAACATACAACCAGTTTGGACAGATTATCACGAAACTGAACTGTTTTGTGTCTACCCAGACTATTCTGATCTCATTTGGTTCCAGTTCCTTTGATGACGCAATCTTGGTCTACTGATTGAATGAGTCCTGATTGTACGTAGAACCAAATCGATTCTGTCCCGATATCTCTGTGCAATAAACTGTGATCTCAACAGTAATTCCGAAAACTGGTTCAGCTAAACAGGCGATGTCAGCATTCCGTGCTTGAGTTCGGCATTTGGCATTCATTCAAAACAGACCGAGACATTCTTCCTGATGTGGCGCGTTGATGATAGCTCGATAAATGACAAGTTAATTATCCTCATAAAACCTCTCCAAAAATGCGTGAAATGACAGTTGAAGCTTGATTTTACTTGAAATAGAAAAGAATACAGCAGTTGACAACAGTCGATGGACAAATTTGGCCAATTTCGTATCAGTTATGTAGATTTGCTTCCCACACGACTGCTTTCTATCTTCCTTTCAATTCAACGGGGGTTCTGAATTATCTGACAAAATTATCGTCTGGTTTATTAAATTTATTCCAGACCCCTTTATCTAGCTAATGTGAAAATTTTCACTTGTTTTATTACATACCTTAATGGGATGAATAGGGCCCTGCTTTTTCGTAATGGAAACCGATGACCTTAACACGCCAGGTGGCACTGAACAGGACTACAGCAAAACTGCCCACCACCACCACCAAAGTTGGAAGGCAGAGTTTGAATCTCCGACTATATATATATATATATAGATTCCAAAGCAGACCGGTGATATTGACTACACCTGTGCGTCACCATGCACCGGTATAAATGAATCAATCTTGCCAACTCTTATATTTATTTATATAACGTTATATTATAAAGGAGCATGTATGCACACAGAAAGAGGTGAAGTTGATCAAAAATACGTCATTTCTGTTTATTTTTTCCACCCCGGGGTTTCATGGGAAAAGAATGATTGTCATTTTTTTGACTCTTCACAGGGATGTCAGTCAGCGATCATCATCAGCAGCG